ACTACTTTTCAAGGGACATTATGGGAAATATTAAGTGCACTACTTTTTCGTCCACTAGACATTCGGACACACATTTATAATGATGTAGCCACTATATAGTGCCCTATATAGGGATTAGGTCGTACATTTGGACACAGCCCTAGTCTGCCGCTGTTTCTGTTTCTACTAAGTGCCCATAATACTAAAATTAAAATGATCTCATCTCTATAGGATATCAATGCATCCCTAATTTTTACATGTTCTTTTTAACCCTTTAAAGCCCGATCCAAGAATAAAACAAAACAGGAAATTGCTTTTTTTTTGGTTTGAAGTCCTTATTTGTCCTTTTAACAAAATACGTAAAGAGAAAAAACAGAAATACATTTTTGATATTAATACTACTATGCGATAAGTCAAGATAATTTTTTGTGTAGTCTTCTGCCCTCTGTTATCAGGTGTATCTGATTGTGTACAATAGGATTTTGAGCAAAGTTTTTACCATTAAATTATGCAAAAGGTGTCAGACGCAAAACATTTCAGAAACCGTATGTATCAAATATGATACATTTGGCATTACAGGGTTAAAGCTTCAAATTGATACCACTTTACAGTAGGAACATGGGGTGTTTTAACTAGTTACCAGCCCATGCCTGTTTCTGTTATAGTTATTATGCCTACTCATTGCATTCTGAATTATGAATACACATTATCATGTTAATTAAATGCTAATGATGAAAATAGCCTAAGTCTATTTCCTGTTGTGCTACCACAATATTATGCACAGTTGCTAACTTCCTTCATAGCTCATATACTAAAGCTGTTTTTAACGTGACATAGGACAAGATGGAATTTCCCATCTGAGAGGAAGAAACCATTACATGTCAAGTTTTCTCCCCACACAAGCTGTTTGGGAGTTTGCATTTCAAGAGGAGAGTAGCGGGAGAAGAAAAGCTAATCAGGAAAGGCTTTTTTTTTATTTTAATCCCTGCTCTGCTGAGGCGACGTTTTTCCGCAGAAAATCTGTTTCTCTCACAGAGCCTTTGCAATCACTTGGAACCCCATTACAGACCATGTGACAGCATCAATTAAATTCACAATTATCATGGGGCAGTGACACTCCAACATGAGAGAGTATGGTAATACTGCATCATATGTGTGTATGCGTGCGTAACATGCATGTGGGTGTGTGGGTTTGTGTGTAAAAGTGGGAGATAAAGAGAGCCCTGATTGTTAAGGAAAAACTGAGTAAGACAATTTAGTACTAAAAGGTTTCTTGCTTTTTTTTTGAGACTCTTGTTATCCATAAAAACTCTTTACAAAAAGACTAAGATCCGTAGAGGACTAAAGAAAACTCAAGGGCTCCTTCCTCTGTTGTTTTATTGACTGCTTCTTTTCAGTTTAACTCTTTTTTCTGTACAACAAAACAAGTAGTTATAAAATACAATGCTCTTTTTTCACATATTTGACCCATAATTGATTATCAGTTTAACAAAAGATTATTCGTCTCCCACTGACATCACAGATAAGAGCCTTGGCTCTTGTTCAGCCTAAGTAGAGATTTAATCAGACTAAAAAAAAAAACAAAAAAACAATAAGGCTGATTAAGACATGCAACAGAATCATAGCATTTACAAATGAATACTGTTTAAGTGCACATGGATGTTCAAGATCCATGTCAAGATGGATGTTCAGCTGACTTCTGATGGAAATATGTCCCAATTCTTAGGTAAAAGTTTTTCACATTGACTGGCTTGTTTGGATCGTGCTGTATCTGACCAGATGGAGTTGTTCTGGCCCAAGTGATACTGCATAGCTGCTATCCTTATGCCATTACTGTAGCTCTCTCCATTAAAGCATAATCAAGTCCCCAAAAGTGAAAAGAAAGACAGCATGTCCGCATTGATCTGTCTACCTATAGAGCCTACACTAGAGCAGAGCCGCAGATTAAAAATTCATAAGCGTATTAAGGTCTATAAGAGCATTATTCATGTGTGCCGTCACTGTGTAATACAGTGAGGTACTCATCATACATGTCTCTAATGGAATACATGAGCAAAAACACAAAGTCACAAAAGAGGTCTGGGTACACTCCAAGTGTCAGCGCCATCATGCACACGTGTGTGGCCTGGCATTGTTCCCTCCTTCAGTACCCTACAATGTGTTGGCATGAATACCTGCTTGACACAGCAGATTGGCACTAATGGCTTTACACGCAATGCCATCTGTAAGCTGGACTGCTGGCTCCCACATCTTCTTCAGGCTCACTGCATTACAGCATTCAGCTCTGGCTGCATGCACCATTTCAATTAACTATTGACATGAACCAATACAAGACCCAATAAAGGATTGCCGGGAATAAACTAATGTGAGTGTTTTGAATTGGCCATCTCTCTGATTTGCCCTTAAGTGTCGATGTGTGTGTGTGTACATGGTTGTTTGTCACTATGTTGCCCTGTGATCAAGTGGTGACCTGTCCATGATGTAATCAGGCTCTTCCCCTTTCTCCAAAAAGGCTGCTGGAGAGGCAACCCCCCAGTGACCCTTGAGGACAAGGGGTAGTAGATGCACAGATGGTCGGGTAGATGCCAATAGAAGATTGCATCAGCTTCTGAGTTTATACTGCGAAACAAATTTGTATCTAACACCTTTTTAATTGATTTGGATTTATTGGATCGTCTGTTGCTCAAAATATTAAATACTCCAAATGATTAAAGCAAAATTGGGCAATGAAACTCAAGAAATCTTCATGCCATTTGTTAAAAGACAGCCCTTTTCTGGAATTCTTGCATGTTATTCTCTAAACATCATCCAGGCAGCTTTATTTATTTATTTTTTATTGTTTTCCTACAACATTTCTATGATTATTCAGAATTTTGAACTAGGCGTAGTTAATGTAAAGAACTGTATGATGTGTTCTGCAGCAGGAGCGCATTGGAAAGGCTTCCCAGGAGTTTCTTCATTTGAAGCATGAAATGTCCCAATTAAAAGAAAAGTTGCCCTCTTTTCTTAACACTTGGACTAAAATATTGTATGTTTGTGATTTAATTTTCTTGAAACCCCAAAACAATAAAGTTGCCATCTTTAGGTTTTTCAAGAATATTGTGTACAATTTATCAATACTAGTTAACCTCGTTGCTACATAAATTGAAAATATAAGGTTGAACCCTCTTTATTGCTTTTATTATCCAGGGTTTTCAGCCACTCCAACCAGAATTGTTCAGTATCCCTCACTGTTAAGGACACTTACTCAAGAACTGCTTCCTTTTTTACTTTAAAATAAGAATTTTAAACAGCCACACAGGCTGTAAAGCTTAAGCACATGTCGTCATATCAAGGACTCTTAATAATAGCTTAGAATTATCTCAAAAGACATGCTGACAGTGACAGAAAGCACTTCATGACAGAATTCAATTTCACAAAAACAAAATGCCTTTTTAATATTGTTTGATATATTGACACAAGATTTCTTTACACCCGTAGCTCACAACTTCATCAGTCAAGGTGGAAATGAAGCCAAATTGAACGTTAGTTCAACAGCAGGGAGGCTGGATAATTCAGGCCTAGCTCATCAGTGGGCATGTGGAAACCAAGACCTAAAAATACAAAAGCAATTTGTGCCTTTTTGTCTATAAGCGCAAGACACGTCCCACTGAGCTGAAAGCTCATAAACAGCAGCCCAACTTCAAGTACTAACACTTATACAAACACACTTCTCACTCTCTGTGGCTTTCTACAGCCTGCAGCAGTCACAGAGGGATCATTACTATTCATTTGCTGAGCAAACTGGCCACACAGGCTTATAAATTAGCTCATCTACCGCAGCTGGGTTCTGAGACAGTTGGCGCATGCCTGGGATTGGGAGCTCAGCCATTACAGTGCCCAGTTTTTCGAGACACCTTCTGCCCAGTCAATGTGACCTCCCTCAAGCTCGTAATTCTTTTGAAAGACAAGAGAATGTGTGCTGGAGTCCAGGGGTGGGACAGGCCTGGTCAATGAGTGTAATAAATGGCATAGCCCTAGGACCACGGCCCTGTGCGTGTTGAGCAGGGGAAGAGCACAGTGTTAAAATACTGTCATACCCAGTGTAAATCAATCTGAATAAAATATCATAAGCAGGACCTTAGAGAGCAACAGGGAGGAGAGTTGACAGGTCTGACCTACAGGGACAAGAGGGAACACACTGGCTTCTCTGCCTTGGAGAGAGGATCAATGGTGGAAGAACAAAGCTAAGCTATTAATTCAACTGGACATGTCAATTCCCATCGGTCTGTGCAGATTGCTACTGATCATGACTAGCCTCTCAGGCAGACGAGATCAGGGGCTTTTACTGAGCCTCAGTAGACCATTGATTCATTGAACATTTTATGATTACCTGGAAGGCATCACATCACAGTGGAGGAATGTAAATTAATTCCAACTGCAGTGATATAGAGATGCACGGAAAACTTTAAGTGTGACTCTGGGATTATATTATGTTAATCACCTTACGTGTAAGATGTGTAACAGAGGTGATCACTCGAGGTTAAATGAGACATCCAATACCTGAGTGTCTGGAATTTTTCATTATTTATTAACAGCATTAAAGCACACAAACATTTATATATATATATATATATATATATATATATATATATATATATATATATATATATATATATATATATATATATATATATGGGCAAAGATAATATTAGAGAGCAATCCAGGAATATTCATGTATTAGAAAATCCAAGCCAAAATTGATGAAGCCTTAATCACAATTACAAAACATTTACTTTCTAAATGGTAAAACGATTTGCGCAATGAAAATCTGGCATACTGTACTTGATAGCAAAAGCTGAAGTAAAACTTCTTCTGTGCTTTGTTTGGAAAAAAGACATTTAGGATCACAGCAAATGTGGCCAATATAAAAATGCTGCATGTGTCTAGAAAACTAGAACTGCACATCCATACACATTTTCTTCTATTCAATTTTGCAAAGCATCTGTATCTTAAAAAGTGGAGGTCTTTTATGTACTTACCCGTCCGATGAGCACAGGTTCTGGTCCGGCATATTCTTCAATCACAAAGAACTGGTTCCAGATCCAGCTCCTCCTGCTGCGAGAGCGTGACCGCTTTGCCTCTAAAGACTCCTGTGCCTCCCTTTCTGTGTCTGACTCTGATGCCTCTTCAAACACAAGGCCATTCCCATTTAGCGGGTCAGCAGCTTGGATTTCAGTTTCTTTTGCACTGTGGCTCCGTTTGGAAGTGGGCTGGAGCCTCAGGACATGGCTGTTGTTGACAAGTTTGTAGTCTTCATCTGTGAGAAACTTAGCTGTGCCTGGATCTGTTTTAGCAGTGTGAGCTGATTCTGTTAATGGGTCTCTGCGGGAATCTGCTGCTCTGTTCCCCCCTCTTGCTCCCAGGGGTTGCATTGTCAGCACAGACGGAGGGGAATTATTTGTTTCTGAAAGAACATACATGGGAAGATGTTTTGTCGATGTAAATGGTGGTGCTGTGTGGCTGATCATCACCTCTTTCTCAGAGCTGAGGCTGACCTCGCCATGAGTTGTTGACAGGGAATGAACAAGGTGTTTGCTCTTGTTATCACCGCCATCTGAGCTCTGTATTCCCAGGCTCTCTTGCCCTCTACTTAAAGCTGCCTTGGCCTCGCTTGGCAGATTAATATGAGTAGCAGCATTCTGGTGCGGGTAAAGATCTGGGCTGGTAACTGTGCTTGCATATGGAAATGCAGTCTGATTATCGAATCCAGCGTGAGGCTGAGTGGCAGCCATATCTTGTCTCTGCACCTTCTGAGCCTCTAATTGTCCATGATTAACGTCAATCAAATCTCTCTTCCTGCTACGGCTGCCCTTGCTTTGAAAGCCGAGAGCAGGAACTCTCTGCATTTGGGAATTGACAATCCTGACTAAGTTCTCTTTTGATAGCAACTTTAACACTCCATAACCACCAGTTAGGTTCAACCTTCGGTTAGAATCTGCACTTAAACCTTTCCCAGGCATACCTGTGGTGAGAGCACTCAAATCCGGTCTGCTCCTAGACCTAGAACCAGATTTGACCCTGGTTTTATTGGAACGTAGTTCCATCTTTCGATGGACTGCAAAAGATTTCTCTAATCTTCCTGTACTGGACGTTTCTGCACTTCTTGTGTTGTTTTTAACTCTCCTCATATCCATGTTTAATGACTTGCTGTTGGATAACAGACTTGCAGTTGCCTCTTTTTTGGTGACAGAGTCAACCTCACGCTTGGGTTTGATAGATTGCCTCTCCTTGTTGCTAAACACAATTTTTGAGTAAGGAAATCCAGAGTCACTCAGCTGCTCGCGACTAATCAGGTTTCTCAGAGTCACCATGGGCATTGCATCTGAGCCGTCGCTCTCATCCCATTGGTCTGCAGATTTGCTTTCCCCTCGCCTCACCGAGTGCAATCCAGCCAATCCTCTTCTGTGTACAGTCTTACTAGTTGAGGTTCCTCCCAAAAGCGCCACCCAAAGGAATAGGAAAACTACCAGGAGAAGATTTCTTGCAATCATCTTGTCTTGTTAAGATGTTCTAATTCTAGCAAGGTATGTAATAAGGCAGCTCTTGTTTTTTGACTGTCTTCATTCTCTCCAGTGTTTTTTTTTTTCACTTTATTCCCCTCTTCTCAGTCTTCCATCCTTTTGCCCTTCACACCAAGCTGGAGGGCAGGTGTCAATCACTCCCTTCTTCTTTTTCGTCAATAGAGTCCAATATCTCCCTGTATCTCACAAAGCCTCCTTGAGCTGTTTTCCTTTCTCCCCGGCTCCTCCCTTGTGCAGCATTTCATTCAGTTTCCCATGGAGACCTGAACACCCTGAGAGAAAAAGATAAAGATAATTAAGCCAAAACTTAAATCATTGCACTGCGTTAATTAAAAATGGAGCTGAACAGACAGGTAGGAGAATTCACAGGCAGGCAGGAGAGACCTTTTAACATGGGGACAATCTCATTTTTACCAGCATAATGGGGTTTTTAAATCCAGAACATATTTCTACTTCTTCCCCTTAATGAGGAGACACTATTTTTTTTTTCTCATAAGAAGGCCCAAATTATCATAAAACTATTGTACTTCCATTGCATTGTAAAAGAACCAACGGAAGAAACAAGGAAAGTACTGTAATAACAATTAGTGATGCAACCATGAAGCACAGAGTAACTATGGAGGAGCTGCAGGAATCTGCAGCTTAGGTAGGACAATCTGTTTAGGCATAGCTATTTTTTGCACATTAGAGGCTTACTCCACAGGCTTCAATATCATTATTTTTTTTCTGTTATACTGGCTGCCCAGAGGGTTCCCTTATGGACCACTGTGCCCCATCATATTAAGAATTCAAGGGCAACATAAATTCTCCCAGCACAAACAAGCTGTAAAGCCGTATATGCTGTTCTAACAAGCTCAAATGAAGATCACCATTTTGTTTTATCTGTTTTCTGTAATCCTGAGCTCCAACTACGAGTAAGTATGGTGTAACTTAAAGGTTTTATTGACTATCTTTGTCAAAGTCTTCCCCACTTGCTATTTAGGCATAAAATATGTGTTGTGTGTTTCCAGGCAAAACTATATAGGGACAAACCTCGCTGATCTACCTTGCAGTTTAAAAATTGTTCCTCATATTTTCCCTCAAAGGGTTGTGTTTTTACTTTGCCACCATTTATCTGTTCCTGTCAAACCATTCCCACCAAATTGCTGCATAGTTCTAACTAGGACAGACTAGCGATCTACTGCTGAAGGAACTATCGGAGCAGAGTAGCAGAAAATTGCGAGAGATTTGGCTGCATTCTTTTCAACCAGGTGTAAATGTTATGGCTGTAATTGTTACAGCTGCTTCGGTTGTAATTGGACGTAATTTTCCATCTGATTGGATCCTAAATTGGATCGTGTGTTCCAACATTGAATGTGTTATTAATAGAAAACTTGACAAAGGAAAACTAATCGCAAAAAAAAGACAAACTTCCCGTTTACAATTTGCCTTAAGTCTTGAATAATACACCAAACACATGAAAAAAGATGCTCTTTTAAGATAAAATTAATGTTGGACTGTTTCCAACAATTATGAGATGGTAGGAGATAATAATTTTCTCAAGACAGGCGGTTAAAATGATGTGTAAAGTAGTATATACTCCATTAAGTGGTACAGTAGATCAACCCAGTTAAAGACCAAATCAAAGCAATTTTTGAAAATATATTTATGTAAAAATCACAGAAGTTCTCCAACCAGAATTCTTAGCTCAGTTTTTTTTGTGAAAACAATGAGTATGAGTATGGAGATGTGAAATGCCAATACAGAGACATGCCCTATAATATCTGGAGCGAAATTTGACTCAGGGGTTGGCATTTAAATAAATGTAACTTGATTTATCTCACACTGGAGAAATTTGCTCTCTGCATTTTGAACCATCCCCTTGGCGAGCAGTAGGCTGCCATTGTGTGGCGCCCGCGGAGCAGTGTGGGGTTAAGGGTCTTGCTCAGGAACCCAGTGTGGAGGCTAAGGGGACCGAACTGGGCACTTGCAACCTTCTCAGAGCACAAGCGCACTGCTCTAACCTACAAGGCCAACACTCCCCAAAATAGTACAACAGAGCACTTCACAACATAGTACAATATGTTGTGTAAATTTATATAAAACCAATTTAAAACCCAATTTTATATTTCTCCTCCATTGTCCAAATGACTTACTTTGTTTTGATCTCATATATTAAAATAAAAATGAAATACTTTGAAGTTTGTGATTTTAATTCATAAAATGTGGGAAATGTTCAGGGTTATAAAATTTAATGCCACCCTTAGCAACAGTGTTTCTAAGGGTAGCATAAGAAGAACACCATTAGTTACCTAATCGTCATCAGTTCTGATGAGGATTTTTTAATCACGGCAAAAACAAAATAGACAAGCCCCGACAGAAAGCCGTCTTTATAAAACTTTGTCTGATAAAACGTCTGATTAAATAGCTGGTTGGATACTCCCATTTAATCAGTTGGTTAAATGGCAATGCTGATGGAGCCCAACCTGTTACTGTATAATTTGTTGCATAAAGGGTCTGAAGGGACAAAAAGATTTCCAGATCCCATTTTTACTTCGGACACATGAGAATCACAATGTCAGATATCAGTCAGTGTGTACTGTGTGTCTTCAGATACGACTAGACACCATTGAGTGAGGTTCAAATTATACCAGTCTACTCATCTGACAAGCAAATAAAGTCACTATTTGCCAGATCGAATTAACATAACAAGCTTCTCTTTGCTCCCACAAGTGAAGACACAGTAAGGAAATCTTCATGGAGAAAGCTGAGAATTCAGTATTCTAGATTTAGAAAATACTTCCATGATATCTTGGAGCTTACAAGAGATGTGGCATGAGGAAACTACACATACACACTTATTAAAACAAAGTAATTTAAATCCTGTGTATGCATGGCCCTGCCAAAGCTCGAAAATATGGAATGACAATTGTCATTGCTAGGACTGAATGATATCAGGAGAAAATTTGATTGCATCATTTCAATAAATAGCTATACTGATTACTTTATGGTTAATGAATCATTTGGAAACCCTTTCTTTTAACTGTCACATATGTCTACATCAGTATCCATCAGCAGAACTTTGCCACTACAGAAATGCTTCTGGTGTTGGCTCTTAGGCAAGTTACGGACCTTTCAAGGGGTAGATTTAGTATGGATTTTCAGGGCCAGCATATAGAAGACTGGAAATATTAAATTATACCAAATGTTTTAACCAAGCAGTCTCAATTACCATTACCAACTGACATGTTGATATTATGATGGCAATAGCAATTCAATATAATATCTGTTGTCATAGAATTATTAGTGTATGCAATATTTATACCGCCCTTCCAGACATAAGCACTAAATTATACATATAACATAATTATATGTCATCAATTATACATAATGTTTGCGTGTGTTACATTTGTAATTTTTTATTGAATTGTCCGGATAATGTCAGTTATTCAATCATATTGCAGTTACAAAGAAATGCTTGAGTGCAACATTTGGTAGGTTTCAATATTTCAGAAGCAATGCATCATTAAAATAATTTATTTTGGCCATTTGCATGGAGCAAGTTGAGGAGATGTACTGATGATAGGTTAATCTTTATCGCAACATTTAACATTTTTATGTGAGCAAATATTATTGTGCAATTTTGTGGCACTCCTTTGACTTTCACATGTTGATTGATTGTGTTTTCTAAACTTGAAAAGTCTCCCAAATATTTAATTTCAGTGTGTAGTGGAGTTCTTTTAATCAGCTGATTGTCAATGTGCTGCAATAAGTAAGGCAGGCACAGCACTGCATCACTCTGGTCACTCTTGCACCTCTTGAGACACACATTGCAGATCATCTCTTAACTTTTAGCGGTTTTGAAACAAGTTTTTATTTCATACTATTATGCTTGAATACCACTAACTGATCTCAATAAGTGACTCATTAAAAAAGGGTTGGTGAATTCTTCTGCAAACCAGTCTTGACAATTGTGGACAGTGAGTGTGTAATTACCCATAGATGACAGAACAAAGAAAGGTATGAACATCATTTAATTTCCCAGTTCATTCATTCATCTTTCATTTCTTTCTCTTGCCCTCTGTGCACATGTGTCCCAGATGTGCACTCAGACTAAACCAGGGGCTTCACATAAAATCTGATAATGTGGCAGGTGCTGTGTGGAGGTGTGGACGTTTTTATAATCGTGCTTTAGCACCGAGAAACAATCAATAACTAGCCTTTTATTGGCTGTGATTTACAGCTTGGTCTTGCAACTGTTCCACCTCACTCCTGTGTGTTCAGGAGGTGGAGGAAGGGCCAATGATTGAATGCTGTATCTGCAAACTGCAAGGGAAAATTGTGGATTAGTCTGCCTTTAAATGCAGAAGGTCACGACAGTGGCAGTAGTGACAGATAAATCTTATCCGCAAAGCAACTTAATAGTGTCTTTGATTAGACAACTGTTCCTCTGACTGAGGAATGTTACGGCTTCTAAAAGCCGCTAAAATGTAGATTCATTCATTCTGGAGCAGGTGAGACAAAAAAACAAACAGTTTTAAAGTTTAAAACGTGAAGTGTGCTACTTAGACATACCTGAAGATTCTGCTTTCTTGTTTTCCAAGCTACAATTGCCTTATCCAACTGAATTTATTGTTTGTGTATCTTTTAAAAGCTGAGGTTTATGTATCATTCAGTGTCAGTTTCACTTTATCGGGTTTTGCAACACTGGCTTCAATATTTGCAGCATACAGATCCTGTTAGCACATTTATGGGGGCAAGAACAAATTGGCCTCTTGGAAAATATGTTATTCTTTTCACATTCTCCTCATATTCAGCCTCTTTTTCCTCTCAGTGCTGTGCAAAATGTCTTCAAGCCCCTTCAATGTCTTTTAAAACCTAGGAAGGAAAAGCTTTTCTACAGTTTACCTGGATCAAAACAATTTAAAGGTACAGTATGGCATGTATCTGAGTTAAGTTGTCTTTCATAACAACAAGCAAAGTAAACCCCGAAGCACTACCCATTCTATCTTAAAGAAGCACAGAGAAACTTTTTCAGATTTTGAGGTTTAGAAAATCTTTTCCTTCCACTTCAAAATACTGCAGTTTATTGTTGTGATTTCTGAATATACCACAGTGACAGATGTGACCAATAAAAAAAAAGGCCTGAAGACAGCCTCCTTTGGATAAACAATAAAGAACACCCCATCCCCAACCCACCCGCCTCATGCTTCGCGCTCCCTTAGCCCACCTCTCCCTCTCACCACCTGTTTCTTATCTGGATCCATCTTTGTAAATCTCCCTCTGCCCCCCA